AGATCCTCAACATCACGCTCATATGAATTAACATGACATTTCTTACAAACATAAAGCCACCTCGCAGCTACATATAGGGGACACAAACAGCATGGAGGTCCCATGTAGGCCGCTTTAGATCAACCAAATATCCTGCATCCTGCTTCTATGTATCCACATAACTCCAAACACATGATCATCCGGTGCTTTGATGTTCCTTGTAACATGTAAATATGGTTTAATAGCATTTATTACTTTAAAACATAAAATGCAAGCATGCTACAAAGCATCTATTGTTAGTAGTGGGCGTCTATACGCTTAAAGATATTTTAGATCACTGCACATAGCCTGAGTTAGACATTTCTGTGCCTTTGCTTTAAACGTACGCCTGCCCCGCACACCCAACCTGACAGTTTCTGACAGCCCGAATGACAATTAAACAAACTGTGCAGCAAATCAACACGAACCGAATTGGGTCATCGAGCTGTCAGACTGCTATTAGAGCTACAACCCTCTGATGCCTTTCCTGTACACCTAAACAGTTACGTGAAAAAGACCCAATCCACGAAATCAAGCAGGTGCAGACCTACTAAGCGAAGTGAACGTCCACTGTTTCCATGGTGATGGTTAAGATGACTGGATGGCTCGGATTCGATGCAAGCATGTAGCCTAATTTGTACAGACGGAGTCCTTAAAGACTCAATATACATTATTAATATACACAGTGTTTACATTGTGTTCATGAATTCATTAAAGCACTCTGTCATATGTGTTTCACTCCTCACCTGTGGCTTCAGTCTGGTGAATTGAATTATCTAACAAACATGTAAAAGAAAACTGGATTGTGGGCCTTTAAAGTCAGACTTACACATCATCCCTTTATGCAGTGTTTAGTTTTTCATGGAAACACTGACAAATCTCAGAACATTGCAATAGTGTGAAGGTAGTGACAGAGAGAGCTGGATTACAGCTGACCCCCCAATGATAGCTGCATTTGTCACCTCCTGTCCAGCTTCATATTCAAACAAGTAACTCTTTAAAATGGTTGAATTCCCTCAGATAGAAGAATTGCCATCACGCTGTATCATTTATAATGTAATGCTGCCAGATTACGCAGACTGTTGTGTTCTTCCATTACCTATTTTGTCCAGGATGACGGTGCAGAAATGGCAGTTGGGTTGAGGCATCCTTTTGAGGATGTGTTCATTTCTGTGATTCTATAAATATCATCCTTGGCATGAAAATAGAGAGTCTGGGCCAGAAGGAAAAGGCTCAGTTACACCAATGTCTGGTCGGATTGGGTCATGGAGGAACAAACTTTGTAACAAAAGACTCTGGTAAAGGGGAGGCTTTGACAGAGCTTAAAGGTCCCCTATTATACTGTTTTTCATCAATATATTATAGTTCTCAGATACAAAACATGTCTCTGAAGTGTTTGGCTCGAAATACCAAACGGATCATTGTAGCATCCCATAATCCCCTCTGTTTCAGCCCTGTTTCAAAAGTGCTGATTCTCTGTCTTTTACTTTAGATGAAAATAAGGAGCCACTCCCCACGCCCCTCTGAGAGATATTTGGTTAAAAAAAACACAATGGTGCTCTAGGAGGAGATTCAGGTGATAAGGTGGGGCGGGGGTGTTACCTTGGTTGTTATTGGCTAATGGTTACACAAGCCAAAAAAAACGTTATGACATCACAAAGTGGCCAAAATCTGATCAGCTCATTTTCAGACAGGTTTTTATATAAATGGATCAGGACAAAAAGAGAGTGAATCTTTTTTCCTGACACTTTCAGAATCTCTTTATACAGAGGGGACACATGTTTATGTATACAAGACATGAAAAAGTGGATTTTGCATAATAGGTGACCTTTAAAATACAGACACAGGTGCGTAGGACTTGTTACAGCAGAGCCCTAAACGCTGCATGGTAATGGGATAGAAATGTCAAACTACAAGATGACTTAGAATAATGAAGCATAACAAACACCGGAAAATACTGAATAGGTAAAAAGGGAGTTTGTGTTACAAAGTGAAAGCTCATTAACATTCATCGCACAACAATCAGACATGCAGTAAATGCCGACTAATTGGAAGTAAGCCTCTTATCATAGTGGTCTTAGTTCCAAACAAGCCATGGTCAATGTTATTGGTTACAATTATTTATTTCTGTTGGATGAAGGTTAACAATGTCCCTATTGTTTCTTTCAGTCTTGTTTTCTAAACCGCACTTTATTTATTTGTCTTTTTTTAAATCCTCTGCTTTCTAGTAAACATGCGTAGAATAAAAGGCTTCAATACTATTTCCAAAAGCACAAAGTAGAAATTCAATATGTATATATGTTTTTTCTCCAAGCACAATACATCACACTAGAGTTTAAAGCCAAATATAGACACATCATTTCGTTTTCGGAATCATCCCTCTTTTTGAGGGTGTTACTCTCGTCTGTTCATCACACACAGGTTTGTATTTTGCCCTTACTGTGTGTGAGGTTTGTTTTGTAAAGTTTCATACTTTGTTCCAGTCGACTTCGTAGACTATTATCTTTGTGGTTTCCTGTTGTTCAACGCATGTAGCGCTATTAAACTTTGACACACAAACATTGTAAATATTATCTAAGAAGCTATAAGACAATGTGAATGATCAGAAATGTTGACACAACTTTCTCATTTTACTGACTGATGCTTAATAAAATACAATAATCCAGTGTTGGTGCCTCAATCAATTAACTGTGCTTTCGTAAATACCACTGAAAACAAATACCAGGATTATTATAATGCATGAGCTAACAGTGACAATGTGCAAGCTTTGGTTTGTGTAATGAATCTGTGTGTTATACAACAGCACCCTCCAGTGTTAAGTTCTGTGTTCAACCTAAAGAAACAAACACAAACATACATAATGACACGTGATTATATAGTTTGAAGGGATGCCACAAAAAGTTATTTTCATTATCAATTACTCTATCAATTATCTCACAAAAAACTAAAAATGTCCCTCAGAATTTCCTACAGCCCAAACTGACATTTTAAAGGTCTTGTTATGTCTGAACAGTCCTTAAATATTACATTCAGGTAAATATAAAACTAAAAGAAGATGCAAATATATTTCAATCAATTAACATGTTAAATTGTTTTGCCTTGTAAATATGTTCCAGTATTGGACAGTAACTTCATTTAAATTACATGCTGTACAATTACGTTGTATTGACTTGCTATACTGACACTTTTTATGATATAGAAAATTATACTTATTTTTTACAAAGGTCTTTAAATGTCATAAACATATTGAAGTCCAATATGTCTATGACATTTTTATGACATACTATAAGATATTATATACTTACTTCATATGTGTTATGTGACATTACGTCATGAAACGTCACGACCAAAGTTTTGAAGAGGATTACATCACAGTCAAAGTCACAAGATTAGGCTTTTCACAAGACAAAAACATTCCTGACGTCAAATAGGAACATTGCACCCCACAGCTCAAACTTAAAAACAAGACCCCTAAAGTTTAGGTCACCACTGCTGTAAAAGTCTTCATAAAATTGAAGTGAATGTACAATATAACGAGTAGTAATAAAAACAGAAACGTTACTTTATGAGACATGCTCGAAATGAGGTATTTATGCACAGGTGCTTAGCAGTTTATCACCTTAACATTTTGGATAATCCTCCTTACACCATGGATCAGAAATAACTTTGTATGAAAAGCGAAAGGAATGTCTACATAAGAGTTTACCAGTCATGGGTTAGATACTAAAAATATACTTGTGTGAAAGAATTGTACTGTTGTTTATTTTGGCTAAGGTAAAAGATCTTACATAAAAGTCTAAAGCTCAGAGTAAAGGATATAAGTTACTTTTTACATAACACAACATAGTTAACTTAAATCATGTTTCTAACTGCAAGGGAATCAACGTGAAGTTAAACCTCTAATCAGCTGACTGACTACAAGCTGTAAACATTAACCAAATCAAAATATTATATTCAGAAATTGGTATTCCTATCAAAAAAAGATAGTTCACTGACTGTAAATATAAATATGTCTTTAATAAATATAAATACATTTGGATGGAGATTTCACTCCAAGAAATGTGCTCTTTGGATCCACTATGGATAAATAGAAAAAGAAGGAAAGCCTTAGTTTAAACGACTAATCATTTATGGTGTACAGAAAAAAGTATGATTGTGATGTCAGTTACATTGCCCTTTAAGTTAAATTAAATACAATTTGAAATTTAAAAAACTAAAATAGTAATTTTTTGTTTGTCGGTTCAAACAAAAACAAAAATCATTTGGGATAAACCTCTGAATCCATATCACATTTTTCCGGATTAAGACTTGAATTATAAACAAAGATACAGTTTTATCTTACATTCAGTATGATTCAATTCTAACAATATAACCATGATTGTTGGATAAAGAGCCCCCAGATTTCCTACTGTGAAATTAAAACAAATGTAGGCCTAGATGTTGTGTTTAGCGGTATCTTGATGAATTTGTGAGGGACTGATCCCCAATAGCATTACAATTGACATATATCAAAAAATATGGCTGTAACACTAACAAACAGCCTGTTTGTTGATATGTCTGATTATTTATTTTTGTGTAAGTGTATTGTATCATTGTATGACAAAACATGTGCAGTAAATAATGTAATCCTTAATGTTAATATAACAGAATCTATGCTGTTATGTGTACATCTCTCAGCTTCATTGTAAACATTCGGCCCATTGCCTGCTGGCATTGGCTCTGGACCTGAGTGTTACAGTATGTTAATCCTCCTCGGTCATACTCTGCCACTTTTATGAACGAGTTATGAATGTGCACGGGTTAGTCCATTAGCTCCTTGGTCATCAGACAAAAAGCCATTCTATTGGTGACCACCATCGAGCGGCGTCCTAATCCTGCACACGTTATATAAAATGCCCATCCACCGGCGCGTCACGCAACCACCAATACTCCGAAACCTGGCGGTCCGCTTGTTTGGCTCATACCGGGACAGGAGAGAAGCATCATGATAGTCATAGTGGACCTGCTGCTGATGCTCATCGACCTGACCTACTCCATCCTGAGTGCCATCGTCCAGACTATCCTGCGGCCGAGGCTCAAGTGCATTGATGGGGAGCTCTGTCTGATCACCGGGTCGGGGGGCGCGCTGGGGCGGCTGTTCGCCCTGGAGTTTGCCAAAGAGGGGGCGCACCTGGTGCTGTGGGACTGCAACGAGGAGGCCAACGAGCAGACCGCCAAACTGGCACGGGAGCTGGGAGTTAAGGTTCACGCGTACACGGTGGACCTGTCCAAGCGCATGAGCATCTATGAGACGGCCGACAGGGTGAAAGCGGAGGTGGGGGAGGTCTCCATACTGGTCAACAACGCAGGAGTGGTGGCCGGGCGGAGGCTGCTGGACTGTCCCGATGAGCTTCTGGAGAGGACTCTGTTGGTGAATTGCCACGCGCTGTTTTGGGTGAGACTTGACGCACGCACCTTTTACGCACAACCTATGCAATCGTAAAACTTATGATCGACTCAGAGCAAATGTCATGTATCAGGTTGACATGACTTATGTAACATCAATGAACCAATCCTCCCCCCTGGCCCGGGTCTGTATTTGTGCACGGGTGTCTGAAGGGATCAGAGCAGCACAGCTACAGTATGTCCTAAATGTGTTCAGGTTTCACGAGGAGGATACAAGTCAGAGGCGGTAACATTAAACACATCCCCAGAATAAAAGGAGCCCACCAGTCAAGAAATCATGTGATTCTGCTCTTGATCCCCTTTAAGCCTCAGTCTCGTGCTCATACAATAAAGTGTTAAGCTCTTAAGCATCAAATGTCAAGATATCACACACATACAGTGGAAGGGTATCTGTTAAAGCACAACGTGTCACTGTTGGGAATAGTTGGCAGCAACAAAAGGACATCAGAGCCAAAATGAGAAATCTGGGCTCATAATAAACTGTCTTTGCTTTCACCCTTAGGATTCTACATGGCCGCAGCTTTGTTCAGGATTATGCACTTTATGAGCACAGCATCAGCGTAATTAATAAAGGTCTGAAAAATAGATTTGACACAAAGCCCCTCTTCAAAGAGATTGCCTCAAGCCTGGATTCTTAACAATAAGGCTCTTATCATGCGAGTTGTTATATTGTTCATAGTCCCTTACAAAGTTACGTTTCATAAAATATCAATTTAGAGAAGCTGCTGCTTTGGTTGCCCTTTGGTCATTAGCCTTGCCTATTAACGCCCCAGGTTCATGATGTTGTAAATAGATTTGAAGTAATACAAAAATAAGTTTCTTACTGTTATTTCCATTGTTAATGTTATTAATGTTTGTTCAAGGGAATACAATCCAAGTTAATGGGACTTAAGTGAGCCTGTTCACAAAAAATCCTTATGTTCAGATTAAGTAGATGATTTTCCAGTGAGATGAAATACTTAAATATATTTGATTTCAACAGCAGTTTGTAAAAATGTTTGGTCTTACTTACTGATCTCATAGAAGTAAAACACTATTAGTCAATACGTATAAACACACAATTAAAGTGCATTAACATTGGGTCGGGTTGTCGCCTTGTATTATTTGGCATCATTTGTATCATGTGTCAAATGGCATGATAATGGATGATTGATTTTAGTAAAAATCAATCATCGTGTGTAACCCAACAGATGACAAAGGCCTTCCTGCCTCAGATGAAAACAACGAACCACGGTCACATTGTGACTGTCGCCAGTGCTCTTGGACTATTCAGCACTGCATGTGTGGAGGTAAGAAACAAGATTACGGACTCACTGGACCACAATCTGAACAGACAAGTCCCAGACCAATCAATTATAGTGCACATCTAAATACCAGCATTTACTTTCTTCCTATAGGATTACTGTGCCAGTAAATTTGGAGCCGTGGGTTTCCACGAGTCACTGACGCACGAGTTGCTGGCAGAGGAAAATGACGGCATCAAAACCACTTTAGTCTGCCCTTATATTGTAGACACTGGGATGTTTGCAGGCTGTGAAATCAGGTAGGCCACCATTCATTAGACTTTAGTTGTCTTACCTAGAAATAATGTTCTATAATGTACACTTTTGTTTTTATAATGACCAGGAAGGAGCTCCGGGGTCTTATTCCCCCTCTGGACCCCCTCTACACAGTGCAGCAGTCGATGAAAGCCATTTTAGCCGAACAGCAAATGATCTGCATTCCTCGCCTTATGTATATCCCCTTCATAACAAGAGCGTGAGTATACTGTGAAGTGAATGCTAAGGCCATTATAGATTAGAAAGAAAATACATAAATTATTTGGGAACGAGACAATAAATTCAATGGTATTGTTTTGTTTTCCTTCCCTTGTCTAGATTGCTACCTTGGGAGGCAAATGTGGCGACCTATCGCTTCATGGGAGGTGACAAATGCATGCTACCCTTCATCAAGAATGTTGAACTAAAGAACGTCAACGGCCACGTCAAATCCTAAGACCTCTCCGCCAGTCTCTTTTATAACCGTTTGGACCAATGCAGACTGAAGGCTCCAAGTGTTTATCCTTAACCAATGAAGGGAGAGCCAAATGCCTGCAGGTTTATTTTTACAATGGGATGAAGGGTAACTGTATTAGCAGCCATGTTGCAGTGCATATATGTCGGGACATTTCTGGTTTTATTGAACCATTACTAGATCGAAAGGGGAGCCAGTGTTTGCTTGATGAAAAGGAATTCCACCTCCTTATAAATCTATAGAAATATTGATTTATATGTGTACCACCAAAGGGCCAGAAGTGATACATTTTTCTAAAATAATGCTCCCAGAAAAGAGGCTGCGATGAGAGCAGAGCTATACAAGTGCCTGTTTTTATTCACATTAACAAACGAAACGAAGACTTGACAATGACCAGTTGGCGGGGGAACATGCAACAGAAAATTATGATGTAATGTTTAAGCCACAGATTACAGTTTTTCAAAAATGTAAAAGGAATTCAATCATACAAAAGAAGCGCTAAATATACCCCTCCCATGTGATTGTGATGTTCAGCTTTCCCACAATACTGTTGAAGTGTACCTCTGCTCCTGCCGTTACTGTAATAAACTGACAATTGTATGGAAACTTGTAATCCAAATCCTTGTTAGTCTTTGCCACACAGCAAACAAAGGGCTCAAACGCAAAACCGCAATTCAGTCGAGTCAACTTTTGGTCATGTCTTTAAAAACCCTTAAAAACCGTTTGCATCTGAGAAAACACCCTAAATTCAGGCAAACTCATCAGAAAGCAGTCAAACCAAATCTGTTAAGACTCAAATTCAGCTGAAGCAGGTCTGTCGTGTGGCCTGAGGTCACCGTGGATACTCCTGCAGTGTATTGTACTCCTTATTAAGTGAACCCCATCACATCGGGTTCAAACCAACTGCACAGTGGCTGCCTGTAAGTAGCCCTGCAGGAACTGGAGGGCGTCTGCATTCAGACTGGTGCTCAGCATTGAGGGAACCTGCAATTGAGAAAAGAGGCAAGAATTACTCGTTTGCTTTCTGCATCGTCACATCCTCTGTTGCAGATCACAGCGGTGAAGTAATGATCTTAACCTTTCTTTTATTCCAAACAAATCCAAACTGTGCACTGACTCGGTGGGAGGCAAGGGGCCATACTGAATACTGGATAATTGTTCAATAATGTGTGGTAAATTAATTAAATATAAGAATGGGCATTGATTATTTAGTGGCCATCCACGAGGATAGGAATCAATTTTAAGATAGATAAGCTACACATGATGGTGTTTTCCCCTTAAATATTAACAAGCCACCTTAGGTAGAAGAAATACTTCCACTGTATTATTTGTCCTTCCTAAGTTACACATTCTGTACCACAGAACATGACCTGTGGCAGAAGTTGCATAGTATGTCCTGCACGTCTCTACATACCCTTCCCGGACAGGCAGTAGAGAGTTTGTGGAGCGACTGGGCCAGCAGGATCTTGGGGTTGCCGACAGCGTCTCCTATCGGGTCGTGCTCCTTCTTCCCGGCAAAGGCCAGCTGTGAAAAGGCCGTCTGATAGCCTGGTGTGTCTTCAATGTCAATGAAGTGCTCATCATCCGGGATGCTGTCATCTTCTGGCAGCTCAAAGAAACCAATGAGAGCCTGGAGCAGAGGGGTCCTGAACAGATATGAGAAACCCCAAAACTTCAGGTACAGTTTAACTCAGGACAAGAAACTATTACATGTCATTCAGGATGTTTTGCACTATTTCACTTCTTGTATTTACTTGCACTATTCTTTCTGTTTTTTTGTGTTACACTGTTGGAGGAGCCTGTGACCTAAGATGTTCATAGCTACACTTTAGCTATGTACGAATGACCAATAAAAGCCTTGAACCTTGTATGAGAAGAGCATTTCCAATCAATCAAACAAACGGTTTTCACACACCCACACAGTACTGGATTGTTAGTAGACTAAAGGTGTTCAGGGACTTTAACCGAGTAACTTCATGAAAAACACACACATACAGTGGAAGGGTATCTGTTAAAGCACAACGTGTCACTGTTGGGAATAGTTGGCAGCAACAAAAGGACATCAGAGCCAAAATGAGAAATCTGGGCTCATAATAAACTGTCTTTGCTTTCACCCTTAGGATTCTACATGGCCGCAGCTTTGTTCAGGATTATGCACTTTATGAGCACAGCATCAGCGTAATTAATAAAGGTCTGAAAAATAGATTTGACACAAAGCCCCTCTTCAAAGAGATTGCCTCAAGCCTGGATTCTTAACAATAAGGCTCTTATCATGCGAGTTGTTATATTGTTCATAGTCCCTTACAAAGTTACGTTTCATAAAATATCAATTTAGAGAAGCTGCTGCTTTGGTTGCCCTTTGGTCATTAGCCTTGCCTATTAATGCCCCAGGTTCATGATGTTGTAAATAGATTTGTTGCAAATAATGGTTGCATTTCCTCCAGACGGATCTCTTACCAAAGTTTAGTGTACTCTGTGTCCATCATTGACGGACATTCAGTAAGGATTTTTGTGATGCCAACAGCGCAGATCTTCTTTTCAACCGGTCCAGACACCTTCTGAACCTCTGGGATAATTATTTTCTCCAACACCATTCCAAACATCCTGCAAGACAAAAAGCAACCAGGATTACTACGTTACATGTTTACACTGATCCAGTGCCAGCTTTTGTGGTTTTGATGCCTTTAAGGTCAACAGAACAAGTTCCACTGCCTGAATGCTACACTGACTGATGAACCCACTCAAGAACCAGTCAAACATGAGTCTACTTCTGTCCACATCTTCTGGTGTATATGGAAATTAAACTTACTTTGGCTGGATGCTGTCGAACATCTCCTGAAGTGCAATGGCGCCGTATTTGACACAATACAGGTTGATAAACACTAAGAAGCCTGTGAAAGAAAACAAGTCAAATGTTAACATTTTAAACACAGCAGCATTAAATAATAAATAGTAGGGCTGCTCGATTATGGCAAAAATCATAATCCCGATTATTTGGGTAAATAATTGATATCACGATTATTAAAAATGATTATCCATTTACCTTGAAAACATCCATTTATTGAAAAAAAGAAATTTGAACAGTATGTTTTCAACAGTTGATTGCCCTGAACTTTAAGTATAATTCAACTGAAAAACCAATACAATTTTTTTTTTTTTTAATAAATAAAAAATACAAATAAAATAATCGTTTTATTTTTATGTTGTTTTCATAATCGTTGCAAGCCAAAAATCGTAATTGCGATTCAAATACGATTAATTGAGCAGCCCTAATAAATAGTATTCAAAACTAGAAAATTCAGAGAAATGTTGACTGACTGAAACTTGGGTGTGCGTCCCGATGCCAACATTACCCCCGCTGAGTAAGTATTAATAGCATTAGTTATATTGTTATGGTACAACAAAGAATATCCATTCATTTTAGCTCACTTTTAGCTGACTATTTTAACTGTTTATCTATTACATTTTTAGATAGTTGTAATTTTCTTAAATACTGAATCACTGACATCAGATGAATAGCTTTAAACAGAACATGAACATTGGTAAAGAGAGGATTGTACTAACTCTTGATGAACTTGGTGGTTTTGGAGCCTTGGAGCCTCTGGAAGAGCAAAATATAGATCTGTTTCCTGTACTGAGTGATGGACTCTCTGGCAAAACAAAAAACATAAAGGTTCAAATACATATCACCAACACATTCCACCAGTTGAGAACACAGCTATCGTGAACCTACGCGGGCATGTGCTCTATGATGCTGTTGATCAGGTAGAAACCTTGGTGGTCGTTGGCCTTGGAGGCGATAAGCTTTTGGAAAACTCCAAGCAAGCCCGGCTGAGAGGGAAAGATGAGCAAGATGATAATGAAGTGTTAGAATAGTGTCCACACAATGAATCAATCATACAATATTTAAATGATAAGAAATTGAATAATAACTGCTGTATACAACACACTCCCCACTTACGATTTTATCAGCAGCAGAGCTGGCAATAGAGGCACCTCCCTTCTCCAAGTAAGCCTGAAGCAGGCGCACGAGAGGGGGAATGTTCCCCGTCCGCTCCCAGAGCACGGGCTGCAGCAGGTGAGGGAATAACGCCATGTAAGAGGAGGGAATAGAGTTGGAGTGGATCTCTAGGAGGAGAGACATCACCTGGAACACGTAGGGAAGAAACTCTGCAACAGAGAACAGAGAAGGATGAGAAGAGTTACCTCTACAGCAGGGGTGTCCAAACGTTTTTCACCGAGGGCCACATACAGAAAAATATACGAAGGACTGGGCCGCTCACTAGAGGTGAGGTATATTGCCTCATAAGTTCAATTATAAGTTAGCAAAATCAATCAAATGTAGGTCAATGATGCTTGTGAGTGTTGGCAGCTCATCCCTTAAAACAGAAGCCTCAGATTGATCATAATAATGAGAAATAGGAAGGCTCTATTTCAAGCTTGTTATGTAAATAAGTCATTGGGCTTTTTTCTTATCAACTAAGATATGTTAGAAAATGTTTCCAACTTTAATTGACTGAATTTATTTGAAAAGTGGTTTTTATTAACACATGGATACTAGAGTGTAATATATTTTTACATTTATAGTTAAGAAGTACAATATAAGACAAGCCTAAGTTTAATTTGTGGGACATATTTCATTATACGTGCTGAGGGCCGATTCAAAATGGTCTGCAGGCCGCATTTGGCCCCCGGACCGTAGTTTGGACACGCTGACGACGAGCTCTACGTCATCAGCATGTTGATAAATGACATCAACATAAATCAATTCCATAGGTGAAAGACAAACCCTGGACATCGTTCTGCAGGATCTCAGTGAAGACGGGGAACAGTGCTTCCTCGAAGCTGCTGACCGTGGTGGGGTTGGCCTTGCAGGTGATCCGGACCGACAGGCACAAGGACTCGAACAGGTAGTGGTTAAAGTGAGGCTTGCTGGGATTCTGAAAACAAGATGTTGGCAAAGTTGACACGTGTATGCCCTGAACAAGCATCTTGGTGAATCAATCTGCATACTTCAAAAGTAAAAGGGAGTGTTACCTTGCTGACTAAGAGGAGCTTATGAGTGAGTTGACCAATCAGAGTGGGAATGTAGGGGACGATGGCATTCTGCAGCAGGGAGAAGCTGCGCATGATGGCTTTAGAAGTCAAAAGAAACAAAAAGGCATGATGAGGCTACTTATAATAACTTTGCAGTTGATTCAACACTGACATGGAACTGGTAATGAGGAGCATTT